GTTAAGTTTTTAAGTTGTGATCCAGTTTGAAAGTTCATAGAAGATAGTGATTCTTTTAATGATTTATATAATAGTAAATTTTTTAAACACAATCAATTGTTTTGACTTACCCCCCTATAAGTTATGCTTGAAGGTTGAAGCACTTGTAATGTTATTGTGTAATATAAACCAAGCCTCTTGTTTATACAATAGTTGTGTATAATGCACTAAATTTTCACAAAAATATCTTTCACAAAAATATAATTTAATAAACAAACTTTGACTATTAAACACTTATCATGATAAAAAAAATATCTACCATGATATTAAAAAGTAACACTTATTTTTTCAAAATGTTTTAAAATGCTACTATGATAAATAAAGGTTTACTGTGATAAAAAGAACTTCAGATATAATTTTAAAATCTTACCATGTTAGAAAAGAGATAACCATGACAATTAAAGATCAAAAATCATATTTAATATGATTTTCATGATAGAAAGAACTTTTATTACAGTAAAAATATTTCTTAAAATAGACTACTATAGTAAAAAAGAAAAAAGTAAGTTTATCGTGGTAATTTAAAAACTAAACAAATTAAATAAATACTATGGAAAATAATATTAAATAGAATGAACCTAATAGAATCCCATTGAAAACAAGTATTTAAGATTTACCATTTGATTGAAAATCATAAATATACATGAAGCATGATTCACAAGGCAGTTTAAACCCAAACATGAATTTAATCATCAATACCTAATATAGATCCAAACAACACCTTTCACAATTAGTTAACATCACTCAATTATAGTCCCCTCTATGGTGTACACTTGACCACAACCCAATTACATCAAATATCATATCACAAAACACATTTTGAACATGTAAGAAGTAAAAATATAGTTGGGTTACAGCCACCTAATACAGTTGTATAATCATAACTAGTTGATTAACATCTCAAAATTAGATCATATCATAAATATTTTAAGTAATCAATAAAGATCATGAGGGATGGACAGAATCCTTATAGCAACATATTCAAAATCTATCAAAATATAGAGTTTCCATGCTTAAACGCATTCACAAATTTGGCAAGTATACATTACTAACTAAATAGGCAAACAAAAGGACTAGTGTCTTATACACCAAGTATAAACCTCTGGTGACCTTCCAGCTAAACTTGCTCCTGTAAAAATGTTAAGCATAGGGAATAAGACACAAAGATTCTAATAACCAAAAACTAATTACAATACCATGACACATGTAATGCAATTAATCATGTAGATTGCTAACTGGGCAAGTAAAACATATTATCATATCAATTATAGTCAATTTATAAAACAAAAATACATAACAACACTTTATCTCCTCCCTAAACCATGCTCGATATTCTAGCTCACCCAGCTAAAGTAAGTTAGTCCAAACCACACATGATTAAGACTAGTAGAGGCATGCCACATGGTGATAATTAATCCATACATAACTCTCAATCGTACACCAACTAGTCGTACGAGTAATGAAAATTTCCATACATAAAACTTACACAATTGAACATACTTTTACAATATACATTTTCAAACCAAACACATTTATATACAAGATTTATTCCCATTGATGATTTACTCTAGCTCACATAACCAAATGTAAGTTAGTCCAAGCCACATGTGCCACCTATTAGGTCTAGTGGGGGCATATCATATGGTAATAATTGATCCATACACAACTCCCAACCATACACCAACTTGTCATGTAAGTAGTGACAATTTCCATACACCAAACTTACACAATTGAATATACGTTCACAATATACATTTTCAAACCAAACACATTAATATATAAGATTTATTCCCATTTCACAACACATTTTCTCAAATAATTTATATTCATTTTCAACACATGGATTTCCAACACACTTATTTCATAAAAAATTAAAAACATACATAATCAACTCCAAAACATATGCCATTACATAATAGAAGTAATTATCTTTACTCTTTAAGAGCAAATTCCCCTTCACAATACCTCTTCCACCATATTCTTTATCAACACAACTTACACAAATTTTCCATAATACATAATATTAATTTCAAACTTAAAATTAATAAACAACTCTAATTATAGAGTTTGAGAGTCTAGGCATAAACCCATAATTAACATAAATTTAAGGTTAGCACCTTGTTTAACATTTTCAAACTTCTTTCTAAAATTCTCAAACAATACTAATAAGTTACAATGAACTCCCAAATCACTTCTAATATCACAATTTCATCTTTTCATTTCTTTAAACTCATCCAAAAATACCCTAAATAATCAAAATTATTCTCAAGCCTTAAATCACCATTCTGAAGTCTTAAAAACATTTATCTATATGTAAATAAACATCCAATCATCAAAAATTCATCCCAAAAATTTAGATTAAATGCAAACTCAACAATAAAAATCATCCCAAAAATTTAGATTCAACACAAACTCAATAATATAAGCCTAGAGTTCAACCCAAAATCTTCAAAATCAAAATTTAGCCTTAAAGAAATATTTTATAGTATTTATTATACTCCCAACAACTTCAACAACTAAATTTATCCATCATAAATTTGGATTAACTATCCCATAATGAAAATTTAATTAGAAAATCATCCCCAATCTATTTAAGAAAAAACTATGTAGAATGATAGAAGGGAAGACTAGAAGCTTATCTCAAGTAATCTCCAAGCACAAGACACTCCCAAGCTCCAAGAACTTGTGCCCCTAGTAGAGCCAAATCACCTTTCTCTTTGTTTTTTCTCTCCATCTCTCATGTTTTAATATGAAACGCAAAACAGGGACTACATTAAAATCCCTTATCTATGAGTACTAGTGGTCATGACAGTATTAAACATATTCGCTCACCAATACAACTAATATCAATAGTCCTCCACCTCTATCAATGTCCGTGATTGGTCAAGTCTTGTTTAATGCTCCTTCTCATGCGGACGACATAATAATGGCTAAAGCCCGCAAATATTGGGCCAGTTTGACCCAATACTTATTTTGGATCATAATTACCACTCTTATATGATTCTAGTCTCAATTTAATCCATAATTAAATTCCTAAACATGTGATTAATAATCTCAAACACAAATTTATTCCTTAATTAAACCACAAATAATATCAACCCTAGTCTTAAATTCTCTATAAAACCTTAATTTTCATAATTTACTAGGATGTTGTATCATCTGTGTTACAAAAAGTGTTATACAAGGTAATAGTTACTTATAACAAATAATTGGCATTATTAGTTAATTATATTTCAAATTTTTATGCAAATGTAACAATATTAATTGGATGTATTTAGATGAATTATGTTCACAGAATGATGTTGACATCTGATTATTGAATACTCCCCATGCAACGCTTAGGGTGGTAAAGGCATCATATATGATTAACCATGTTATATGATAACTAGCCTTCAATATAATTTTAATTGTCTAATCAATTTATACTTGACAATGTCACTCTAGTATATATTTCGTTTGCATGAAAAAAAGGTACTATAAACAATATACTCAATTAACTATATTATAAGCTTTAAAACATGTTGGTGGAAAAAATTAGATTAACAATATTTTTCCATTGCATCCAAGATTTGCAAGTTAGTTTTAAAAAATAATTGGCATAATTAGTCCATTATGTTTTAAAGTTTTACGGAAAAGTAATAAAAATTATTTTTACACATTTAAATGACATATGTATTATCAATATCTAATTAGTTTATGCTCTTCGTGCAACATACGGATACAGTGAGTAAATGCTAGTCTTACATAATAAAAGGTTTATCTCCCCTTCATTCTTCGCCAACTTTAACTTTAAGTGTGCCCTCTTGAAGAGATCTATCTTCTGCTTGGTATTTTAATAAATTTTTTTTTATTTTGTTTGTAATAATAGTCCTCCTTCAAACATTTTCCTAAAAGGTGGGCCTTTTGTATCTACTCTTACTTTTTAATCAAATTTCCAATTTACTGAAGAAAAATGCTCCATTTGATCACGTTGGTATAGAGTCAGCAGAGAATTAATGACCATCTAACAGAGATAATAAGACAAACACAATCAACAAAGATTGATCTTATTAATAAGGATTTGGCTTATGAACATAAAGGTTGCATGATCAAATTCTAGTGCTGATGTAAGGATTTTATTGGTGTATGATTTTTAAATACATCTTTATAAGAAATTTTTTGAGTCTGGAAATATACCTTGGTCTTGATGAGCTCCACCCAATTTACCCACACTTTTTTCATAAAAAAAAGACATGAAACTCATAAAAAAATTGGATAAATTAAAGCAAACAAAGATGATTGACTGGGACATAATTGAAGAAAAACAAAACACAAGATCATTGACATATAACTCCAATATGATTGAAAATATAACTAGAAACAAAAAAAAAGAATAAATTGATTAAAAATCAAATGATGAAACTAATGTGTTTATGAGATATATTACATAATATATATGTGTATGTGTAAATAGGCCAACCTATAGGCCTTGTAGGCTAGACCTTAAAAATAAGCATGTTCTATTTAATTAAATAAACTTAATTAAAAATTTGAATCTGACTTGAGCTTATTTAGTAAATAGGTTAAGCTGAGTTTAAAATAGGCTCTCAGGCTATAAACCCTTATTAAAGACCTGGTCTATTTTCACTCCAATGTGCCACATACGAATATGGGTAGTAAATGTTAGTTTTCCACAATAAAAGGTTTATCTCCCCTTCCTTCTTCGTCAACTTTAATTCCAAGTGTTCCCTCTTTAAGAGATCTATCTTGTGCTTGGTATTTTAATGACTTTTTTTATTTTGTTTGTAATAATAGTCCTCCTTCTAACTTTCCTTTAGAAGGTGGGCCTTTTGCATCTACTCTTACTTTTTAATCAAATTTTCAATTTATCAAAAAAATGCTCCATTTATATATAGAGTCAATAGAGAATTAATGACCATCTCACAGAGATAATAACCACAAACACAATCAACAAAGGTTGATACTCTTAATAAGGATTTGGCCCATGATCCAATGTCACAAGATCAAATCTTGTTGCTGATGTGAGAACCTTATTGATATGCAATCTCTAAATACATCTCTCTATAAGAAATTTTTTGAATTCAAAAATATACCCTAGTTTTGGTGAACCCCACTAACTTACCTAAACTTTTTTTCATTAAAAAAAAACCACAAAAAGAAGGATAAGAAACACGATAAAAAGAAAAAAAATTGCATAAATTAAAGCAAACAAAGATGATTAACTAGGACATAATTGAAGAAAAACAAAACACAAGATCACTAACTTTTCTATATTTCTCTTCTCAACTTCTTCCACTTCATTGTCAAACTCGACAATGTCTTTGCGGACGATCCATCCTCCATTACAGCATCTGCAGCAGCATTCTTCAGCTTCTTCATTCTTCTGCGAACTTCTTTCCCTTCTTTACCTTCAATCACACTCTTTATCACCTTTGCTATTCCCTTCTTCTCCACTAACCCATCATCATCACCAACCTGTGATGATGATCTCACAGCCACCTTCAAGCCATCAACCAGCATAGCAGCATTCGTTCTCTGCTCGGCGAACAATGGCCAAGCAATCATCGGCACTCCGTTAACGACACTCTCAAGCACCGAGTTCCAACCACAGTGAGTTAAGAATGCTCCGGTGGCTTCATGGCCGAGAACTTCCACTTGTGGGGCCCAGGAAGTAAGAACCAGACCTCGTTCTTTTGTTCTCTCGAGAAATCCTTTTGGTAAGAAACTCTCGAGATGGTCATTCTCAGGCGTTTTGAGGTAAGAAGCTGAGGCTTTGTTGCTTGGAGCCTTCACGTTGACCCATAAGAACCTCACGTTGCTCAGTTCTAGCCCTAACGCTAGCTCGTTGATTTGGTCTTCTGAGAGGGACCCACCGCTTCCGAAGGAAATGTACAGAACGGAGTTACGTGGTTGAAGATCCAACCATCTCAAACAATCCGACCCGCTTGCCTGATTGGTTGGCCCGGTTTGTATGATTGGTCCAACTGGATATACATTAGGAGCTTCTTCATCCTGCGACGCAAGATGCTTCACCTTTTTACATTATTAAAATACTGAAACAAAGGCATTTCTTCAAGTAAAAGCATATCACGAAATCTATTCTCCATTTTGTAGAATATTTATAATTTTGGCACTTGATATTCATCACTATAAAATTAAAAAAAACAGAACATGTCAAAATATAAAAGATATATAAAGTTAAACTATACCTTTGGAATGATTATTTTTTATGCTAATCATTATTATTTTTTTAAAAAAATAAACTTAACATGTCAATATTTAAAAATATTTTATTAATATTTAAAAATTTAAGGTAATATTTCAATGTAATTATTTTTTATTGATGAAACTAACCATCTTAAATGTATAGTCTTTATAGATTATACTCTTTAAACTTAAATGAATAATGTTTTGCATTAAATTATATGCCTTGATTTGACCATCTAAAATGTGGGATAGACAAGATCATAATGTTTTTTAGGATAGAATGAATAATATATATTTATTGAGTTTAATGCCACAATTAGATTAAACTATTAAATCAAATGAATAATTAAATAGGGATAGAAGTATTGAGAATGAGCATATGGAGATGAATGATCCAACTCCGTGTAGATTGGATGTGGGAATATATATAGATGCGCAATAAAAGATCCCACGTTACATTTTAGAGAATCCACTGATTAGCAGTAGAGCCTACTGTATTTTGTCTTATTTACTTGGAGTCATCTGAGGAGATCAAAATTAATCAACATTTTTGTGGAAAAATCATCTATATATATATATATATATCATTAACCTAGTTGAGTTGAGTGATAAAAACCCCAATATATATCCTTAAAAAATTTCAAACTCGAATTTTATTAAAAAAAATATGACTCCTCCAATATATGACTCAATTTGAATTAAAAAATTAGTTGGTAACTTCATATATATGGGATTTTTCACAAAAGACACCTTTGAATTTATTTATAAAGTAAAGAAAGTGTTTGTTTTCTGGGGACACAATGATTTTTATATTTATCTTTACCATTTTACTCCTTTTAAATACTAAAAAGATTATTGCATGTTGAATTATTTTATTTGTTTTTAAAGTATGTACTCCCTCCGTTCCACTAATAAGACAATTTTGGAAATTTTTTGGTATCATAAAATACATGACACTTTGATAAAATAAAATTTAATTAATGTTTTTTTAAAATTACCCTTCTTATTATATTTTTAATTTTTTTACAAATAAAATATTAAATAAAGGTTATTTATAAAAAATTATATTTTTATTGTTTTGAAAAAATAAAATTGTAAAGTGTATTTAACTATCTTCATTGATATCTATGATTTTATTTAAAATATATTTATATAATAGGTAAAAAAAATTAGATATTCTTGCCCAGAAACTGCAATTGACTATTGAATAGAGGGGGAGTAAGTACACCGAAGTGGCTTTTAATTTCTTCCCTTAGCAGAGATTACTGTAATTATGGACCGTTAAATTGATCTTTGATTATTTATAGATACAAATTAATCTAGTGTTAGAATTTGATTAGAAAGCATGAATATATTCATTATATTGTAAACTTAATTACCTGGAAGGATCCTTCCTCCTGCAACGATTTTAAGGGACCAGCTTCCATCTCAACGAAGCTATTAACCAAGAAACCATCAGCCAAACGGTACCGTTTGCATCGTTGCAGAAACTGCTTGTAAGCAAGATCTGTTCGATCTTGAAGATTATCTGGGAGATCTATGCCTCGTACCGGAACGCAACCTGGAATCTCTATCAATCCCGGAAGCTCTCGGAACTCACAGTTTGTAACGACGACCTTCTCGTCCAGCTTCGATGAATATAGACACAGCGAGAGCAACATGGCTGACGAAGGGAAGTAAATGTACGACAAGATGTTCAACTCCCTCGCCACCTGAATAACTTCATTCGCAAAGGGGTCAACGACCATGGCGGCGAGGTTCTTCGTCGACGCGACGAGGGAGCTCAAGGCTTCCCGCACGAGGGGGATGGAGCGAGAGACGGCGAGTTGAAGCTGGACTTGAAGCGACGTCGTTTCCGCAAGGAGGTCATGGGAGCTCACGGGAGGAAGGAAGACGTGATCTATGGATGGAGGAAGAGCTCGGAGGAAGGGCAGGGACGCCGACGGTGGAGATCCGATGGTGGGGATGATGCAGGTCACGTGGAAGTCAGGGTGGTGATGAACGAGACGCTTCGCAAACTCCAGAATTGAGACTTGGTGGCTAAACGCTGGGATTGAGACGAGAGCGACGTGCGTTTTGGTTTCCATCAGAGTGCAAGCAAGCAAGCTATGCCCAGCCTGGTTTTATCAGAGAAACGTTTTTTTTTCCCCCACTCAAGGGGAGGAGGAGGAGGAGGAGGGTTTGTTCTGGGGAGAGAGAAAGAGAAGTAGTGAACGTAAACGCAACTAACTTTCTTGCAGCGTCCTTGTCCCTATATAAATGTTTTCAAATTAGATAATTTTATCCTTATTATTTAAAAAAATATTAATGGTGTATTTTAAATTTAACCACCAACATTATAATATTAATTGATATTATTAAAAATAAAATTAAAAAATATTATAATTTAATATAACTTTAATTAAATAACAAACTTTTATTATTAATATGTGAGTTTAAATTAAAAATAATTTATATATATGACAGAAGGAACCAATTTACATTATATTACCCTCTTCCATTATATTTATAGAATTTGGATTTTATAAAATCTACTCACTTAATAAATATAATGTACCAACTATTGTTATTATATTTTGTCAATATGAAAAAATTATCAAAATGCATGTCTTCTCAAAAATTCAAAACAATATTCATTATCAAAGTACTCTCCTCACATATGTCGTCCCTTTAATTCCTTAAAAAAAATTTTGAAATTTAATAATTTTTAAGTATTATATTAGATTAAATTAACAATTATTTTCATGTCATATGAAACACTCATTGAATAAATGGGCTTGTGTTATTTACTAGATCCAAATCCTTATTTATAAGGTGGATAGATACTCCTTCCGTTTAAAAATATAAAGTATTTTTAATTAAATTTTACCCTCCAATAAAATAGTTAACTATTTTCAAACTAACTCTATCTTTTTATATTTATCCTTGTTAAACACCCTATAATACATATAAAATCATTATCAATAAGAGTACTTTTTAAAAAAATGTAATAATTATATCTCAAAAGATTAAAAATTTTTTATATATTCTAATATTCAACTCCTTAAAAAATATTTTATAATTTTAAACTGAAGGAGTAACATTTTTTATTTTATTTATCAGTCATGTAATCAAATTTTTATTTTAATTTTTTTATCTTTCATTAAATGTTAGTTAAAAAAAATATGATTTTAAAGCATATATATTTAATTAAAAAATTAAAATTTATTAATTTTTAAATAGAGTTAATAAATGTTAAAATTTTTTATTAAGATAAAACATGTTGGGAGACGAGAAAGGAGACAGAATTTATACAAGAAAGAGACGGGAAAACGGAACGACGCTTACGTAGGTGCCTCGATTTAAATGTGACGTGAAGCGACATGTCATGCGATGTACGGCTGGCTCTCTTTGAGGCCATAACCCGACAAGTCTGTAACCATCGCTTGGATCAGATTTTTTTTTTTTTTTAAAAAAGAATTAACGAGGATGATGAACTTTTTCACGTGAATATGAGATTTTCAGTTTAAAAACGAAAAGAAAAGTCACTTATTATTTATCCTTTTTTTTTTTCGGGAGAACTTCAGATAGGGATTAGTGATGCCACGTAATTACTAATGAATTTTAAAAAATTTTAAAATTTTAATTCAGTTCAGAAAAATAAAAGTAAAAATAATTTTAACTATAAAAAAAATAAAATACTATTTACTTGTAATGCAAAATTACTAATTGTTACTTTTCTTACTTTACTTATCAGTTTATCAATATGAGTTGCAAAAGTTGACATGTCAATACTTATATAAGATTTGACATCAATTGTTCAATAATAAATGGTAACATCACTTGTTAAATTATTAACTTACTAACATCAGTTGTAAATTACGAATAGGTCTTATAATATACTAACATCAATAATAAATTACTGACAAGTCTTGTAATTTATAACTGATATTGATAAATTAATAAATAAAGTTAGTAAATTAATAATTAATGTTATTGCTTCTCTGACAAAAACGAATATAATTTACTAGTAATATTAGTAAATTAATAAGTGAAGTAAGAAAATTAATAACTAATGATTCTACATAACAAGTTAAGAGTACTTTGATCCTTTCATAATTAAAATTATTTTACTTTTATTATTGAATTAAAATTTTAAAAATTTTTGAGATCTATTAACAATTATGTAACATCGCTGATCTTTATTTAAAATTTTCTCTCTCTCCTTTTTATCTAAAAACTTATTAATTATCCTGGAAAACAATAAATATATTACATGTATACATTTCCTCACATTGACCTTTCCTTGGATTTCTTTTGTATACACACCCCCACGCACCTCTAACTCTCACCTGCTTTAAAGAAAAAGTAATTAAATTATTAAATTTATTTAAAAATAAAATATAATTTTAATTTTACATCATTTTTTTACCACCAATTTTATTTCTATTTAAATAAAAAATTTAATTTATATAACCTTATAGTTAATAAGCTTAAAAAGAAATATTATTGAAAAAAATTAATATTAAAATAGTGAAATCATTTTTCTAGCCATAAAGAACATATCTATTTTTTTAAAAAAAATAAAAATAATTTTAAAACATTTAAATCTATTTTCAAAAAAGATTTTGAAAATAAAATCAAACATAATCTCACAAGTTTTTAAAAATAGAAATTAGAAAGTTTCTCACTAACTCTTGGTTTTGACGGGAAGAAAAATAGAAAGAGAGAAAAATGAGAAGAGAAAAATCTTAAAAATAAAAAAGAAATTAATATTTTTAGAAAATTTTCCTTCTAATTTTCATTTCTTTCTATTTTTTTCTCACTTTTTCCTCCTACCAAAACAAAAGGCCCATTTACTTAAATTAAAATATAAGTTGATTTTTAGATGATTATAGATTTTATAAAAAAATTATTTTATAGAGATTTTATAACAAGCAAACATTATTTTATATTTGGTTACAATAATCAAAAATAATTATTAGTTAGTTATTTTTAAATTTTATAATATCTTTCTTGATTTTTTTATAAATATAATTTATCATTTTATTATTTTAAAATGTTATGATCTACTGTATCAAATTATTTTCAAAAACTATTAAAAGTAACTTCCTAAAATAATTAAAAATTTACTTTATTTTTTAGATTCTAATTATTTTCAAAAAAATAAATAAATATTATAAAAAAACTCACAAAATAAATATATTTATTAAAAAAATAAGTGATTTTTTTTATTAAATAAGCTAAAACCAACTGTCTCAAAATCTAATTTCAAAACACTCAAGTAGATTTTCAAGTTACACAGCAACTCATCATGATGTTTTCTTTTTCTTTTTCTTTTTTGATTAAAAAAAAAGGAACAGCTCATTAGCGGTTACAATAAATATAGTCTTGGCTTAGAAGATCACAAATCTCCTGAATCTCGCTGAATTGGCAGAGTCCAGGCTAGTCTTAGATTGCATGACGCGTTAAGAAGTCCACTCCCCTGTTGGAAATTCTGTAAACAGGGAGAAACATTCACTTGCCACTCCCTTTGCAGCATGGATCTGATCTCTCCTAATAGATTCTTATCCTGATGCATACTAATGTCACCTCCATTAATTAACTCCACTGCTTCTTAAGCATCTGAAGCAATCATGATCTAACGTTGTCCACTGTCCCATGCCAGCTTAAGATCCATTAAGGTAGCCTAGGTTTCAACGTTTGGGCTATCCGATATAGCATGACTAAACATGAAGCCTTGACTGAGCTTACCCTAGTGATCACGAATGACTCCCCCACAACCTCCCTTTGACAGTCTTGGTTTAATCCCATACTAGTTCAGCTTTTGACTTTGAACATGAATGTCCCCCAAGCTTTTCATGATAGCTCTAACTTCAGCACATATCCCTTCATTGAAAATAATATTTCCCTCAAAAATAGGATTATTTCTTCGCTTCCAGATAAGCCAGCAAGTTATAGAGAAGACTGCACTCCAATCATCAGAAGCTTCATCTCCCAAGAACCTAAGGTTCCATTTTAGCCATTCTTGCAATCCCAACGAGAAGCTATGACGTTTTGACACTTTCACCAAAGAAATCCAGAGGTCATATGTTACATAGCAATCCCGAAGAACGTGCAGTAAATCGCCACTATGGCGCTAACACCACGAACACGTATTTTCATTGGTCATCTTCCTCTTGCATCTCTCCTCATTAGTCAATAGTCTATTATGACAGCTCAGCAAAAGGAATGTCTTACATCTTTGAGGGATCTTGAGTTTCCAAATTTTATCCGAAGAAAAAGTTGATATTATGCTTTGGAGGGGACACGACATTATATGCTGATTTGACAGTGAATATACCATTCTTTTCCCATTTCCATCAGATCTCATTACTGCCAGCTGCTTTCTCCACCCCTTCTTCAACCTTTCACCAAAATCCTTTAATCCCAAACCAAACATTCAAGCCTGGACGATCAATATCAATAATGGAAATCAAATCCGTCCCACATTTATATTTAGCCTGAATAACCTGCACCCATAGATCGTTAGGTCGTTTAATTAGATTCCATCCTAATTTCATCATAAATGCTTGATTTTGGCCTCTCACTTTCCTTATGCCCACTCTCTCACGTTTCTTCTGCTCACACACTTGGTCCCATGCCAATAAATGGCTCTTATACACTTCAATGTTACCCCATATGAAATCTCTATTACACCAATCAAGTGATTCTCACGTGCTATCCGGCAAGAGAGAGGTTTGCATAGTATAACAGGGAATAGCAGAAGTAATTGAGGATGCGAAAGCAACCCTCCCAACCATAGACAACACCGAGGCCTTCCAATTAGATAATCTTCTAGTCAAAGGAAAAAAAAAAAATCTTTGCTAGTTGCTATGCTTGGAATAGAAAGCTTCGGACAGTCGCAAATTGCGCTCCTAATTTATTACAGGTTCAACCGTGCAAATCCAAAATAAAGGGCAAGACCATATGGCATGGGCATGAAAAACAAATATAAACAGTAACTTCAACAATGACAAATTCTCTCAGCTATGTATTGATTCAATTTAAGCTCTTAAGACATTAGTCTACCAAAGCTTCCAACGCCAACAATTCCCAATCACTGCTCTGATGTGTCTGAACGAACAGCTGTAAAAAGACAAATTGAAAACTTTGATCAGGATACATCAAAAAGAGAAATGAATTGGACATGATATTCACTGTAAATCATTGTGAGAATTGAACCCAAAACGGGCATGTACCCAAACAAATATTGTCAAAGAGGCAAGGTCGACTCAACCTAGACTCTAGAGCATGTAAGTAAAGGATGTGTTAAAAAAAGAACAAGAGATTAAGGGCCGATTTGATTTTTAATTCTTTTTTTAAATTAAAAATAATCAAACATATTTATTTTTGTTTTGAAAAATAATTTCGAGAACCGTATTATACAATAATTTTTAAAAGCAAAAAATGAGAACAGTAATTAAATTCAAAACACTTATCCAAATGAGTTATTAAATTTTATTGTTTGCAGAAACAAAAAAACAGTTCTTGAAAATAAAAATCAAACAGGCCTTAAACCTCTGAATAAAGAATGAAGACTCTCACAGGTTACCGCCATAGTCAATAAATATATCCTTACACTAGGCCATCCAGTCTCTGTTTTAAACATACATCCATCATAGATCAATAACTAATAACATGCAATTATTAATGAGTCATGCTTCTCCAAAGCCACTAACACGGACAATTTGAGGCCAAGTATGTAATTCCTGAATCAAATATAGAGGACTCTAAGCATAAACCAAGTTTCAAGATTGCACTAAAGGTGAAAAACAATTTGAACTGTTAAGCTTCCTTAGATGGAGGGTGGGGGGAGGAGAATGTTTATGCTACAGGTATCAAACATGACTCTAAGGAATCTCATCTCCCACATTTAACCAGCCTAACCATAACCATTAATTCATACAAGAAATCAATTATTAATTATTAACAGTACAATATTGCATTATGCAGAAAGATGAATCAAACAAAAATACTGCACACATGTCTAGCATCATTGCCAGTTTCCTAAATTCCTTAATTTTGAGTGATAACCATTGAATCTGACAGGAGAAAACATCCTTCAAATGGACCTTCATCATTTGTCACTGGCAACTCTATTTTTTTTTTCACTTATCAGTGTTATTATACAGAATTTACACAAGCTCCTTACTTCAAAGCTTAAAAGGAGGAAAGTAACCAAGAAATGTGAATCAAGGAAAAGATCAGTAAGTATCTGGAAATTGATGAGTAATTTACAATGTATGTATCGTATCATAACAAGTTTTCTGAATCGAGAAATGTCATATATGAGTTTTATATGTAACATACTAACATGTGACTTGAAGGTTTCACTGTAAAACGGACACATCAAATAGTATTGGCAGGGGATACCATCAATAACTTCAGGGACTACTAAGCAGCCAGCATATTTGATGCTCAGATGTTATACCATAGAGACCGGGCTCTAGAGTTCTATCATCTGTCTAGGTAAAGGAATGCTTTTGCTGATTTTCTAGCGAGATCATCTCATACTTTTACTATCAATTTTTGTTTCTTTGATAATCCTCCAACAACTCCACATGAGTTGGTGAATGATGAGGGATCCTTCCCTCTACCAGACTTGAACTATGTGTAATTTGCTTCTTTTAATTGATTTCAGTATTATTCAAAAGAAAAAATCGCAGGGGCAATCTTTGTCATTTTAATGCAATTTGAAGTTTGAACCTTTGCAATGTGATCCTGTGTAGCATCCCAGTTGGCGTCCAAGGTGGCACACAGGATCACACCACTTCAACAGCATTAGGAATCGCTACTTTTATGTACAATTGAAGATCCAGTTGAATCGATTTCGTCTCTTCAATCATCATTGTGTAAAGAAAAGGAAAAACATCTAAGATATAGGTATTCCTCGTCCAACGCTTAAAGTTACACTAGAAAATATTATCAGAAGGCCAACTTCCAACCAAAAAAAAAAAAAAAATTAAGCTAGAAAAGCAATCACAAATGAAGGACGATAACATGAACAGCATATCAATTACATAAATTGAAGTAATAAAAACAACAATCGATTGCTCAGAAAAACGCAGAGGCAATCTTTGACACTTTAATGCTATTTGAACTTCAACATCCAATGCAGTTTCTATGTAAAACGAAATTTGTTTCATGTAAACCTAGAGCCAAGCCCCTCAAGACTCGAGAGTAAGCAATAGACAGTTTCTAATCATTAAAATCGTACAGGCAATATTTGTCAGTTTAACGCAATTTGAATCTTCAACAACATTCAGAATAACTTTTCTTACGTACGAGTGAAAATACAGTTAACTAGATTTCGTCTTCTCGTTTTGAAAAGTAAAAGAGAAAGGAAATCTAAGAAATAGATGTTCCTTGTTAAACGCATAAAGTCGCATCACACAAGACAATATCATCAGAAGGCCAACTTCCACAAAAAATTTGATCTTAAAAACCAAATCGCAAACATAGGATGTCATCACGAACATCGTAGCATTTATATAAATTGAAGTAAACAAAGCAACATTCAATTCGATGGCTCATAAAATCAAGCTCAGCATGTTATTCGGGGAAATGAAATAAGAAATTGCAAAAGAATAGATAGAAGACACAGATTGATAGAGAAAAGGAAAGCTTACTAGGCTTCTCAGGCTTGCCATCGACCCACTTGGAGACGACGAAATGGACCTTCTCGCGAGAGAGGGCTTCAGATTTATATGGTTCCTTGAGGCAATTCCTGACGAGATTGGCGCAAATGTTGGAGTAGGTGATGTAGGTCATCCCAGCCGCTCTCCAGAACGGTGCCGCTGCGTTCGACGCCATCTTTCTCTGATGCTTTTCTTTCGCAACTCCTCTACCTCTCAATCGCCCAAGGAAAGCTTCCTTCGTCTGTGGAACTTTTCTTGGGCCTACTTCGTATATGGAACTTCACAGGGCTTGGGCCTCATTTACTTCGTCATTTGTTAAAAAACGAAAAAAACGTTTTGGTCGTTGCTTGGAAATTGAAATGGAAATATTCATTTCTCAATTAAATTAAGCAACGATTTTGACCCAAAAAAAACCCTCTTGCTTTATATAAATCACATGTTAAAAGAAATTTGTAGTCCTAAATATGAGTTACTTTACATAAGTTTTTGGATCAAGGAACAAGGTTAAAGATGTCATCAAATTAAAGATAGAGTTAAAGATTACATTGAATTTGAATAAAGGAATTACTTTGAAATTAGATGATAGTATAAAAAAAAGGAAATTAGGGGTTTTGCAAGATAATCAGCTTCCATGTTTTCCTCTCTTCAAACATATCCAAGCTCGACAATCTAATTACAAGACAACACATTGTGGCAATTAAGGATTGAGCACCAATTATCATGAACATCATTATTCCTGTCCTTCATCAGATTAAGGACTTTTAGAGAATCACTTCTCAAACAAACCCTCCAATGTCCTGCGTCTTAGGTTTGCCAAAGCCTAACAAGACAAGGTAAAAGTTCAATAATAAATTTTCGAAAAGAGCATTTTTGCATAACATAAAAGGATTCCCTTTCAAAAGTTTCAGCATGAAAGCTTTCAAAGGAAGATTGATGATGATCTCTAATGTTATCCCCACAACTTATATGAGCATGGTATTAAAACTTGGACCGGACCAGCCGGGTCAACTCGAAAATCAATGACCCGATCCCTTATCCGGTCTAGGTTTACTCCTAAATTGGTGAGAGAATGAACCGGTGTAACTCGGGGTTAACCCGATATAACCTGAGTTAACCCGGTGGGTTGACTAGGTTAATCGGGTTATTTTTTTTTTAATTTTTTTTTCATTTTTGATTTTTCAGAGTGCTGAATTCAGAAATAAGATAACAAAAAAAGTGAAACTAAAGTCAAAAAATGAAAAATTAGAGGTAAAGCACGCTAAGTCCAATTCAAATTTTCAGACAGCATTTAGTTCGGCCTTTCATCTGTGTCTCTCCTCTCTCGCCCTAATCTAATTAGCGTCTCTTCTCTAACTTAGTCTCCGTCTCTTCTCCAGGCTTCAGCTCTATCTTTGTCTCTTATCCAGCTCTATCTTTGTCTCTGCCATCTCCATCTCTTCTCTAGCTTAGTCTCTGACTCTCTGTCTTTTTTCCAACTCAATCTCTGTCTCTTCTCCAACTCTATCTCCATCTCTTCTCTAGATTTTTGAGATTGAAGAGTTGTAATTGTAATGATAAATATTTAAAGTGTTGTATTTTATTACTGTTAGACTTTTGAGTGGTTAGATTTGGTTGAATATTTTTATAATTAATGTCTTTTTATTTAAATTATATTATTTTAATCATGATCGATTTGCCACCAGTTCAACCCTAATTGAACCACTAACCTGTGACCTAGCGCCATAACCGATTCAATGACCCGTCCGGTTTTATGTACCTTGTATATAAGCACTAAAGTGAGAATAAGCTTAATCAACATGTACCATAACCCAACCTTCCGAAGAATAATAGTATTGCCCTCATTATTTGATGTGTTCTTTTTTATTGGTGACATTTTTCATTAGATTTAACAGCTATTTTAATGGTAAAAGAGTTGCTAATGGACACGATTTGAATGTTCAGGGTTTCATTTTTACATTTTTAAAGTTGAGGATTATATAAAACTAACTTGAAGTTTAAGGAGATTATATATATTTCAACCTTAAATAAAACATTTTTTATTTATATGAGAGGACTTGATTTAAAAAACTAAGATGAAATTTTAAGGCTTACATGCCATAAGAATCGAAGTTCACATAGTTCAAAGATACTATTAGGTAGGTTTTTTGAAATTTCATTATTTTTTAAAAATAAATCCTATCTTTTAGAGTAACATTTTATTTATTATTATTATTATTATTTTGAAAAATTCTTGTTTTTCAATAAAGTACTTTTTGATAAAAATAAATAAATTTAATCAATAGCATGACCTATGGTGATTCAGTATTACTCATGACTAAAAATAATGACACTTCAAATGTTCATGGTAATTAATGTCGCTTAGGGAAATTTTAGAATACTAAAAATATCTTTTTCATTCTATGGATTTTGAAAAGAAAAAAAAATTGAAACAATATTTAGTACATACTACTCTAGTCTAATTTATAAATTACTTTTAACATATTTCACTAGTATCAAGAACAATCTTAAAACTCATTAATTCTGTCTTAAATTTTATGAAGTTATCAACTTTGCCCCTATTAAATATACATACTTTAATAATATATTTTCTCTTTTTAATATTCAATGGAGGGTAAAATAAAAAATTTTTAATAAAAATTTAATAACGTAACTTATAAATAGGGCCCAAAAATTTTTTTTCTCTACCCTATAAATAAGACTAATGGAAGTACAATGACTCCGTGTCAAGAATACCTTGATTGCTTAACATTACTTATGGCATATCTTAAAGATGTGCAAACAGCACTAATTCTATATTTCACAAAAAATGCATAAAAAGAACTTTTTGAATTACACCAACATCCATCAGCATTTAATGCTTCATGCAACAAGTTGCCTGTTAAATTAATAAAACTGAAGCAGAAAATCAGAAATGAAGAGAAGGATGAAGGCCATGAGGTGAATAAAGATATAAGTAGGGTGAATAAAAATATAAATAGACTGAGGGATTGAGTGTGATGAAAAAGAATTGTAACAAATATACAAGGAAAAATTGTATTCAGGGCCTTTAAAAAGGAGATATTTGTAAAGCAGGCTAATAGATGTAGATTATAATATCCAATAACTTCATTTGCAATTATATTTTTTACTAAAATAATCCATTTGCCTCTCCCAAAATCAACTAGTCTTCCTCACTCGTCATTCCCTCTCTCCCCCTTTCATCTGTGTTTCGAAAAATGTATCAAAGGCAACCGATCACAAAGTTAGTTGATTTCTTGTTTACCTTAATGTAGTGCTGTTGCTTGTTGCTGGAAGCATCAGAGAAGCCAAGTTCTTAGACAGATTCATTATTCCCAAGTCTTAACCCTACTTGAGCTAAACAGATTGGTATCCGAAGTAGCTAATTAAGCAAGATCTAAAACACTTTGAAGAGGGGAAATATATTTATTAAAAAAAAACAGATTCATTTTGAAAGTTTGAAGACATTTGCCAGATGTATGGAGTATGGGTGCAAGCTTCGTTAGAGAGCAAAGCAGAGCCATCTCAATGCGTGTTAGGTTTTTCAATTTTTTAACAGTAAAAATCAGTTGTTATAATAAAATTTTTATTTGAATATACTTTTTTAAAAGTCAGTTTGATAAACTAAAAGTTATTTGAATAATGATAGTGAAATATACCTTTTGAATGTACAATTATCAAAAAAGGACATTAATTTATAATTATTTATAATTTTTATCGTATAAATATAATATATTTGAAATATTTAAAAAATGTGATAAAGATTTGTAATTTTTATTGTAAATTAATACTAAAAATTAACATGATTAATTATTCAATTAATAAACAAAAACTTGATAACTAGTTATTATTATTTAAATAAAAATTATATTTTTAATAAATTAATTATCTTTTAAATAAAAGAATGAGAGATTAATCTTGAGATAGTATAGTTAAAAAATATCTCACTTTTTAAATACACTTTTTAAAAGCTTTATTATTTTATGTTCACCAAATTTATTTTCAATAACATTCTCAAAGCAGTTTTAAGATATACTTTTATTTTTTTTTTTTTTTTTTCAAATAACATTCTACATCCCAAATATGAGAAAATATATCTCAAAAGTCAAAAGTACGTTACCCTAGCACACCCTCATGTGTTTGGATAATAAATTTTTTACATTTGCAAAGTGCTTTTGAAGATTTTTGAACGTCAAAGTTGTTTGGTTTTGCTTAAAAAATTCGAAGTCCGTTGAAAAAGTTAGAAATGTGGTGTTAAAGAACTTAACTCCCAATTGCTTTTCCTTTTTTTTTTTTGGTCAATTGAAAATGAAGTAATACTAATCTGACCATAATATTTTTGTAGCTTATTTTCTTACCATACTTACATATTTTGAACAGAAGTATTCAATTATATTTATTTAATTTTTATAAAACCATTTTTTATTTTATTTGATATTTCCTATATTATTTTTTATATATTTTTAGTGAAAGAATCTTAATTTTTATTTTCTTTTTATACTTTTTTGAGTGAAATTATTTATTTTTTAAAATGTATTTGTTTATAAATTATTTAAATTTATATAAATCAATATGCTTATAAAAATTTTGGAACGTGTGTTATAATAAATTATTTGGAAATCAATTTTTTTCAATATATCAAGATTTGCTTAGCAAAAATTATTTATAATAAGACTCATATCCTTTTTAATAATTACATATCTAAAAAGTACTTTTGCTATATATTATTCAAATAATTTTTAATTTATTAAGATAACTTTTTTTAAAAAAATATATTCAAATATAAATTTTATTATAATAATTAATTTTTATCAAATAAATTTTGACAAATGAACTTTTGATAAATGAAAAACCAAACAAGCCCTTTATTCCTATTGTTAATGTCCCAACATCCCATTTCAATAGCGTTTCAAAAGTTTTAGCCAAGCCCATTAGCCAAATCCATACTTTCCCACTATATTTTCATGTGCACAACAATGAATACCAAAACAATGTCTTTTTTTTTTTTTTGAAAGCATAAAAACACTTTATTAAAAGTTACAAAACCAAACAGATCCTTGAACTCCTAGGTGATCAAACAGAGTGAAGTGATTGACTGGAAACCAACTCATTCAATGTGTCTACGACTATTTGTTTGCCTCCCACTGCCACTTTCAAAAAAAGCATGGTAGGTTAGGAGAGAGCTCCAGTATAAGAGAGCGAAGGACGATTTGTAATGCTGGCCACTCCACTTCAAATCCAAATTCATGCAATG